ACTCAGTCCGGAAAACGGTGGTCAGAAAGCTGAAGGCCAAGGGAGTTCCAAACTCAGTGGCCACGTTTACAATTTCCACAACTGTAATGTGGTGATAAATCAAGGACATGCCGGGCAGGCTAACGCTTCGTGTACAACAAACCGCCATGTATAATTTGTCCGCAACCATGCTCCTTGCCAGCTCTGAAGGTATTTCAACTTTGTGCATTTTCGCTTGACTTTCATTTAGGCAAGTTTTCTTAGACCATAAAGTAAATTTTTAGTGATAATTTCACTTCAGAACAAACTGTCAAAACTTTATATAGCCTCGTGCAAAATTTTAGTTTCAGCTCATTTCAACGAGCGCTGTTGTCATTTCATTCATCAGTTCATGACGAATTAGAGCCAATCATTTAAGAAAGATTTGACAGTCACGGTTGTCTTAATTTTGAAACATTATGAACAAGCATGAAGAATTCGAAAGGTCTTTTTTGAGAAGAAACTCAGAAAATTACGAACTTTAGCAATTATGTGCGCTTTAAGCTAAAACTATATTATTCTTAATGCTCTCGGTTTTCTGGCGATAGAATAAACCAGTAAAAAAGTTACGGTTGTGAGCGTAATTTGTCACCCATTCTATTTTTAGAACAACTTGCGCCATCGCCTGCGGCACACGCGCGTACATGCTGCGAGGATTTTTGCGGATGTCGCGCGGGGGAAATGGCATCCGAAATTCCCGACATTTTTCATGTTTTTCGCCCACAACTCATCGCGTTTACGTCTGTTGGAATTTTGCTTAAGTATTTTCGTCGTAAGCTGCTCCAGTTTGAGTGAAGTAAGACAGTGTTGAATTTATCATCCCCGATTATGGCTCCGGTATCCACTTCACTCATGTCCGCCTTGTCAAGACTGTGACAACTGTTTTACATCCGTAGTGGAAGCCAAATAAAGCACAACTTGTATTATAATAATTTTTGTACCGAACGACTATTGTAGTCCTTAAATTTGTTTCAACTGACTGATATACGGATCTTTACTTTCAAAACGTATCAAGAACTAATAAAATTAGTCACTTAGGACTCTACAACAAATGCTTTTGGTCCGGCAAGTCGAATTTCATGTGAGGTAATCGGCAAAACTGCGGCCTTCTGTAAATTAATTAAATATAACTCCATGCTCGGACCACTTAGGGAAGAAATCAGCAAGCCAAAAACAGCGACAGAATTTAACTGAGACACCTGCAAGTAGTAATTGAAGAAGTGTCAAAAACAGCGATAGATATACAATACTCACGTCACAGTATGACTGGATATCCTTGCAAATTCAATGCAGATCTAGAAATCTAACTTTCACGGCCGCGGAAGCCTCTTCTATACCTAAGTAAAGTAAATTATTTGTGCCACGTTTTGAGTAAACCAGGTCACTGTTTGTTCCAAACATAACAAAACGGAGAATTATTTCTTTGGAATTCTTTACCAATCTGAGAAAAGGACAGCTGAATAAATGATTGTTTCAATCGAATTGTTACGACGTTGTGTGATAAGTAAACGTCAAACAGAAGCAAGTGTATGTGTGATGCAAACAGAATAGAATGCGTAATTCTAGTATTATTCTTTCTTGTATAGAGACAAGAGCAATCTGTTCAAACAGGCAGTCAAAATGCAAACAAGTGGAGATAACAATTGAAGATTTTGTCTCGCAAAATTTAAGGTCAATAGAGCCAAAAAGTCATCACCTTTCCGCATTCACTTTGATTTCTTTTCTACTTCAATGCAAAACTCTTGTTTACCGATAATATTGTAGTTCATGCTGTTCTTCTTAATTAAAAAAACAAAGCCAAGAGAAACTCTGGCCGGAGGTGCGTGCAAAGCTCTTTGTTTTCGCAGCCCCGAACTGGAAAGGTCTTGACATCTCACTAAAATTTTCCTCATTTTCAATCATGCTGCGTGACTCACAGACAGATTAGACACGAATGTATGGATCAGATATTTCTGTCAGCATGCTAGTAATACCGAACATGCCGAATTGAAAATACAAAAAAAGCAAAAGACACTGACAAACAAACAACAACAACAAAAGAGAAACATGTCACACACTTCTGAGCGAGCGACAGATACACGTGCGAACATGAATTCTGTCTTCCTGTGTACTATCTAACTACAGATCTTAAAAATTTTATTATAGTTTATTCAAGGAGAAAAAAGAAAAAACTGTACTTACGGAGTCAAGACCAAACAAGTGTTCTTTATTGTTCCGCGAGTTTGTAGAGACGTTTAACAGAAGAAACCACTAAATTGCCTGTTTGAGATGTCGTGTTCACGTTATGCAACACTGAAGAAAAATATTTATTATTAGTTCTGTAGAGAATAACACCTGTACTGTTTCGGGAACAATGGGGAGGTTCGTGTGTGCATGATAACAAAAATGATCTTTTCTCTGAATAACTGATCACTTAACTGCTCTTTTGCCATGGGCTTCTTAATTACCTCTAATTAATACAACATTTTGAGCTATAATTGTGCTTTTCACTAAAGGGGAAACTATAATAAAACTCCAGGATGAAAAATAAAGCCATTTTGAGGTCAGCATCACTACAGAAAATCAGCAAAATTGTTTTTAATTTATTGGTTGTAGTCGAATTTTAACTACCTATATCAATTTCATCAAACGGCGGCGAAATGTATGTTCGGCGTTCACACAACTTAAAATCTCCTCCGGTTTTGAAATATTTACTTTCATTTTTGTGAGAGTAATACACACAGGCTTTGAAAAGTGCATGGTTCAACAGAAACTGGCATGTTGCACGGGGTTAAAAGTTAAAATTACCAAAAGTGCAATTACAATTTACTCGTCTAAAAGAACAATTTGACATAGGTTTTTTAAACGATTTCTCGGCAGGAGAGGCCACTACCGAACGATGTTCGACTCCCTATGATGACGGTTCTGTTATTAAAACAAAATGGAACTTGAAGTCTCTTATGTCTCCGGTGTTTTCAGTCCTGCCTTAAAAAAACGCGTTCAAGTTTGATTGCAATTTAAATGTGGGCGTGAGATTTTTTCTGCGAGGAAACCTAAGCAAACCTTGCGTTATACTTCGTTGTTATGGTTACAAGAGATGGAACCGTTATCGTGTTGATAAAACAAAACCATACCCCGAAACAGTTACATCTGGAAACTGTGTACAGTAGAACCCCGTTAATAAAGTCACTAACGGGCCATGAAATTTTGGCCGTATTAACGGGGTAGGGTCAAATTTCATGACTGGTCTAAACTGAGTGACGTCTTAACATAACGGATATATCACAATTGTACCTCTAAACAACTGTTCTCTAATAAGCATCCAGAATGCAAATATAATTTTAAAAAATATTGAAACTTGAAGCAATGGGAAGATGAACACAACTGGTTTGAGAGGCCGTATAAACGGGGTAAAATTATAAAGGATTATATAGGTTGGGATTTCAAAATGTGGCCGTTGGCAGTATTGACGGGGTGGTCGCATTAACGGAGTTTTGTTGTGTGAAAAAGTATGGGCGTTTCGCCTGGACAAACAAAAGTGGCCGTAATAACGAACGAGGTGTCCGTAAGGCGGGGTTATTGACAATGAACTTTCAAAGATCTTATCAACGATTTACAGGTCGTTTGTTTTAATCCCCTTTCTTATCAAATGCACGATTTCCGGGCTCCTCTTTTTCCTTCAGAAGCCTGAAGTAGGAAAAAAATTCTAAAGATTGTCCACTCTTACCTCAACTTAGATAAGATATATCCACTACTAATGGACACAGTAAAAACATCCTTAATCTCGGCACAGATCAGCGCAATCAATATTCAACTGAGCTCATGGATTCTAGCACCTGCACGTAAACAAACAACACTGGTACGCGAAGAAGGAAAGCTTTTACAACCTGGTTTTTACAAATTGAGTCGAAAACCATAGAAACGAAAAAAATTGTTTCACTTACAAACTGCCTTGTAGGCTAATCTATACCACGTTGTATATGTCTCAAAACCTTGATATATTGAAATTAAAGAGAAATAGCTAGAAATTGTCCTGTTTTTGGCGATTTAGCCGAGCGTATAAGTCATCGGTAGCGCTGTACATAGGAGCTATGATACGAGCTCTGAGTTCATCATGTGATGAGTGAGCTTCTCGCTAAAAATTGCTTACTCGTCTATGCCGGTCCTCTTTGTTGAAAAGGATATTTAACGCCATATTTAGTCACATAAATTACTGCCGCCGTTGAGAGAACACTTTCAAGCTTTCATTCTTGTATCTGTATAATCTTTTATTATCCTCCTTTTGAATGACGTGGCGCAAAAAGCCGCTAACTGATAACGTACAAAACAGTGCCGGATATTATCGAAAGGTATTAAGGCGAGGCATGAAAACATGTTTTACCAAAACATCGCTGTTGATGAAACAAGCTCGGCTCCAGTATGGCTCTTATCATATTGATTTCTCTCTGCCCTATTGAATGTTTTAGCAACTAAGCATTTTTATCGACAGTACAATCTATAGAAATATAAATCCAGAATTTTATATTTGCCCTCTCAGGCTCTTTCCAGTACCAAATTAAAGTGGTTTTATACTAGTGGAAACAAACCCGAAGAGCCGCAATGGCAAGGCAACTTTCTACTTCTGGATGGTTATTTCCAATTCCGTTTGCGATCGATCTATAGGGAACTGACTAAATACCACTCGACGAATGAAACATCATTGATACATGCGGGAGGAGTTTCCGAGGGGAGTTTCCTCGGTTTAAATCATAAGTTCAAGAATTAATTTGTCCCACACCAGGATGGTATAAAAAGCCGAAGTTCTTGTGACACATGATTCGCATAAGGAGAATTTCTCTAATGCTCGTCACAAACGTGTTTCGATCTATCCTGAAACAATCAAAACTATAGCAAAAAGAGGCAAATTAGAGCCAATTATGTAACTAAGGTTTAGCCTTGCTTGAACCTACTTGTGTTTGTACAAATCACAATTTAAGTGTAAAAAGATGATTTGAGAGCTTTAACACGGAAGAAATCTTTCTAGATAATTGGTTTTGTTGGGTTGAGAATCACTAGATACAGTATCTGATTCAGTACTAAGTGGTATAATATCATCGGCACAATTTATGTTTTATCTATATTCCATGTGGTGATAACAATGGTTTGCTGCTTTCGCACGAATTCGTACGTTCATTCACTTCGGTGAAATTTGTTGGCTCGCCAGTCGCTGATACGATGTTGCTTTTACTACTGAGAATTTATCGTTCGCTTTATGCTTTGAATCAGCGAATCAGTACAATTTTAATTCACTTCCTGACTACGATTTTCATCAGAAGATCAGAAAATCTCTTAACCTTTGAAGTAGGCTACTATCAGATGTAAAAGTTTTCACACTGTTTAGTGAAAAGTTCGCTCCGACTTGAATTGGACCTGCGGGCAGGCTCTAGAGTTTGGTTTTCGCTGTTCCCCTGTCTCGGTTTCGCGCGTGGAACATCGTTCAACCGGGTGCATAATGAATTAAGTATGAGGTTTTCCCATCATTTCTTCATAAGATACGCAGGTTATGTGTTTACTGCAAAACTTCACATTCCACAAAACTCGGCATTTGGTGAACGAGGACGTGCTCGCGATTAATGTTCATTCAGTTAGTGCTCAAATCAGTCAATATCAATCAAAGTTTTTGAGTGATCAGTAGAAGACATAGACCAGGTACCGAAGTACGGAGGGTGAAAATACTAGCGTCTTTAATTTTCTGCGATCTCGCTATTTCCTCTGGAAACGGTAACGGACCTATTGCATGCCATCAGGGCCAGTGACCTTACCCGACTCTGATAGACTGGGATGATACCCTTGGACGAACTTCACGTTCCATAAAGATCTGACCTTATATGAATATGAACGACCGACAATTAGAAATAGAGGGCTTGGACAAGATAACAGCAGAGCCGGAGAAAAATATTTTCTCCTCCAGTCCTGCCGCTGTCTTTCTGCCAACTCTCTCGGTGGCTGGTAGGTAAAAAACCTCGTCCTCATGTTTCCAGAACTGAGAACGAGGACAATATCAAACCAACATGGCGGCTAGTACAAGCGAACCCAAAAGCAGCGAAAGAAACAGGTGGTAATGATATTATCGTGAATGCCAGTGAAAGAATGGCACCTTTTACTAAAAGACACGTGAAAATCACAGGAGCAGCTGCTCTTACCGTCGCTAGTTTTTATATTATAAAAAAATACGGGCCTTGCGTCGGGCGAAGGATATTGAACAAACTACAAAACCAAAGTAAGAAGACAAGATTGACCTTGGTGTCTTCTAATACAGGGTCAAAGGTAAAACGAAGAACAGCGGCATTGGACTATGTATTTATTTCACAGGCATGGAAGCTGTTGAAGATTCTTTTTCCTGGGATATGGACAAAACAAGTGGGACTGTTGTTTCTCCATTCAGTCTGCCTTTTCATCAGGACATTCCTCTCTATATACGTGGCAACCCTTGATGGCAGGATAATAAGATCGGTAGTGCAGAAAAATGTGTTGAAATTCGTTTTACTGCTAACTAACTGGATAGGAGTGGCAATTCCTGCGACTTTCATAAACAGCATGATTCGGTATCTAGAGAGCAAACTATCACTTGCTTTCCGCACAGAGCTCGTGAACCATGCCTACGAGAAGTACTTCTCAAATCAAACTTACTATCGTGTTGGCAACTTGGATGGTAGACTGGCGAATGCTGATGAGTGTCTTACGGAGGATATACGCATGTTTTGTAGTTCAGTGGCTCATCTTTACTCTCACTTAACCAAACCTTGCCTGGACATTTTTGTGATTTGCTGGACGCTGGATGGGATGGCTCGAAAAAGGGGAACATCGTGGAAGGTGCCAGTGTCAATAGCAGCTGTAGTGATCTATTTAACTGCCATGATCTTGAAAAAGCTGAGTCCCAGGTTTGGTAAGATTGTGGCGGAAGAGTCACAGAAGAGGGGACAACTGAGATTCCTTCACTCCAGGGTTATCACCAATGCAGAGGAGATTGCTTTTTATGGTGGTCACAAAGTAGGTGTCTTTTTAAAATTTGGTACATGTACATATTGGGTTAATTAATGACAGATCTAGATTAATGATTAGAATGGTTTATTTTAATGATTAGATGGTTGTCACAGAACAGGCGACTAGAACTTAGGAAAAAAGGTTGGTAGGCCCCCCAACAGAGATGAGAGAAGAGAGCATTAGAGATACGTGACCCCTAAGATACCATGAAAAACACAGACTGGGAAAGGGAAGAATTGCAATGTTGTGTATGCTTTAAATGAAAAGGTCATGACTTCTTTCTAATGGCACAGCAAAAAGTCAGAACTTTTTATATGGAAAACGTTGGCTCATTGCCCATCCCCTCCACACAAGTACCCCACCTTGAAGTGAGTGGCCCTCCATCCACACTGTCATCTGAGCCCATGTGACTACATGTATTTCTTCTGTAAACAGTTCACTTCTATTTTGTAAAGAAGTGCTTGAAAACTAGTTTCCAATTTACATGTGTTACCCTAGGTGGCTTAATATAGAGAGTGACCTTTCTCCCTGGGACATTTTTTCCCTTTAATAACATACCCTTATCCCAAAGTTCTATATACCTACTCATACTGTGGTAATTGTAATTTGTAATTTGTTATCTCAGTTTTGAAGTAAATAAAAACTATTAAAAAAAAAAAAAAAAAAAAAAATCATACTGTGGTATAGGTTGGAAATCAGAAATAATTGATATTGGTATAGAATTTGTTTACTACAAACAAATCTTGAATGTATCTAATGTTATTTTGAAGAGTAACACAACAAAGTAACTTCCCATTTCAATGTTGAATTGGATACCTTAAACTTTTTTAGCATGCAAAATGGTAAGATGAAAAACTACTGCAAGAGGGTAGGGAGTTGGAAATTCCATATACTTGAAGCTATCTTCTTCTTTATACATGTACAGGTTGAACTGACATTACTGAAACATAGTTTTCAGTCGCTGGTCCAGCAAATGGAGCTGCTCTTCAGCAAACGCCTTTGGTTCATCATGCTGGAACAGTTCTTAATGAAGTATGTGTGGAGTGCATCAGGTCTTGTTATGGTGGGATCAAGTATCCTGTTAGGGAAAGGTACTTAACAATTATTAATGATAATATGAGAGTCTCAAGAGAGTTTTTTAACTAGTGAGATTTTCTACTTGTCAGGATTTGGCACAAATTTTTTTGCATACCCCACTAAAACTTACAAGATCTGGAACTGAAACTCTGAAAACTAGTGATACAGACTTCATCACAGTAATTTTAGATTTTTATGTAGACCAAGTAATATTTTTAAATGCATCAATTGACACCTCTGGAAAAATCACCTGCAACTTTGTAAAATGGCAAAGTTTGAAAGTCATGCATTCATAAACAGCAACATTTAGAATCATATAGCTCTGCAAAATTTGAGAATTTTTCAGAGGCTTGAATTCATGAAAGATGACTGTTTAAATGTTGCACCCCAGTATGTTTCCCATTTGGGATTAGCATTGAGATTTTAACCTTCTTCTTTCTCAGTTTTATGTACCACAGTATCATTATAAGTGAACTGAAAGTTTATAAAATTAATATGCATTGATCTCAAGATGCAGACTATTTTCCATTTTGATCTGTTAAGAATGTCACTGTAATCATCCATGTGATGTTTTATCCAGGGACAACAAAGGAACAGCAGGGACTTACAGACCAAGTTGTAAGTGAAAGAACAGAGCATGTGACAACATCACGCTCACTGATGGTTTCTGCTGCAGATGCCATAGAAAGAATCATGTCGTCTTACAAGGAGGTAAGTCTCCTACCTGTGTACATTAAATTGCCAAGATCTCAGCAGCCCAAGTCTTTTCAAGGGTCTTAGTACTGTACATGTTAGGGTCTTGGTAGCTGGATTGTTAACTAAAGGGTCTTGGTAGCCCAAGTGTTAGAGTCTTAGATGTCCCATTTTCCACCGTTAAACCTTCAATATCCATGTATTACTCATCGCCATGTCAGTAATTTAACTTTATAGATTACATTTATATTTTTTAGTTTTTCATGAATTTTTTGAAAATTTTTTGGTGACACAAGGTTGCATGAAAACTAATGAGTCTTTCAATATTGAATAATATTGCAAGACAGGTTTTCATGCAACCTTGTGTCACAAAATTTGCCAAAAGTGGGTACTGTGTAGCCAGTGATGAGCTGAGTAGAATAAGGTTATACTTTGTTGCTGTGCATTTTTGTGCCCTGCCAAACAGTGTTACACCTGCCAACATGTTTTCCTTTGCATTGTGGCAGATAATAGAATTGAGTGGTTACACGACACGTGTTTCAGAGATGTTTGAGGTCTTTGAAGATGTTGAGCAGGGACACTGTCAACGGCAAGTTACTAGAGAGTTGACAGAGAGGAGAGATTCAATTGACGAGGCTGAGCAGCCCACCAGTGAAGCTGTTGGTGTCCATGGAGAAGTGGTAGATTTGAGTCAGATGTCAGGTGGCAAGGTAGTTGACACTGAGGGAAGCATTGCCTTGAAGGACGTCGCTATTATCACACCATGTGGTGATGTAGTTGTGTCAAGTTTGTCCTTTGAGGTGAGCAGATATTAAAAAGGAGCCCAAGCATTGACGTCTTTTTATCGCACATGACAACTGTTCCTTTCTCAATGTCCCTGAAAATGACAACTTGCAAATAGTAATTTGAGTTTTTCATTCACAAATTGGCATCAGTAAACATTTACAGAGACAAAGGAAATAAATTTCTGGCTGCCAGTCATGGTACAAAAATCAGTATGTACCCTTTCTATTAATAGTCATTTTCAAATATGGCAAGTCTTCCAGTTTAGGAGCTGATGATTAATACTCTATATTATAAGTGACAGATACTTGATTATTACAATTTTTTAAAAAATTTTTAGATGGAGCCAGGAATGCATCTGTTGATAACAGGTCCAAATGGTTGTGGTAAAAGTTCTTTATTTCGTATTCTTGGTGGACTGTGGCCAGTTTACAAAGGGTTCCTGGCCAAACCACCTCCTAGCCACATGTTCTACATACCTCAAAGGTGAGTTTATATGCACTGGTCACTATATACACTGTACATGTACTACCAGTGAGTCTGTACTCATTGGTAATTTCTCCTGTACAAGGCCAGAAAAATTTTGATAGTACATTGCATTTTAAATGGAATTCCTGTAATGCCAATCTGTTAGTCACCCATGTTGGTTTACGAGAAAAATCTTTTAAAATATAACAACAAACAGTAAAGCAACAGGTGAAATTTCTAGAACATGTGCACTTTGTATTGCCTGAGCTTTATCTATGGTTCTAGCAGTTTTCCATGCTATCACTACTGTACATCTAAAACTTCATATTCTAAGAATAATTAAATTTGTACAATACACATCTGTATAACACACGGCAAAGTGCATTACATGTACCGTACATACATGTATATACTAGACAATGAAAACCTAAGTGAACTTTTACTGCAAAGGTATTGTCTATTGTCATACACAGCAACAAGCTGAGCTGCAGCGATTGGATGAATTATATGTAAACAATAGTCTCCATTTAGCATAAAAATGTGCTTGGATATTTGTCCGCAGACAAATGGAGGCTATTGTGTTTATTATCCTTCAAATATTTTTTACAACATGCACAGTTTTGAAAATAATCGGGGAATATCTTCAGATATTCCCCAGGTTTCGCTGGGGAATATTTGGTCATGTGATGTCCACGTTTAGACCAATCATGCGCGAGCAAAAATATTTGATGGATTATAATAAGAAATTGTTTCCAGCCAAGGGGTAATTTTCTGGAACAGAACATTTTTTAAACTGTTTTATAAATTAATACTTAATTTTACAGACCATATATGCCAATTGGTTCTCTGCGTGACCAAGTGATTTATCCTCACACATTTGAAGACATGCAGTCTTGTGGCATTACAGATGATGTTTTAGAGACTATTTTGGCCATTGTTCATCTGAAGTATATAGTCAAAAGGGAAGGAGGTATATTTCATCACTGAAGTAACATTTTTACATACTTGTGTGAATATTTTATTTGATATGATTATTTTTTGGATTATATTATTTTTTCTTATTTTTTCTTAAGAATTGAAATCCCATATCCTGCTCTGTTCCCCTTACAAATCCTGCATTCCAACCCTATAAGAACACAAAATCCCACTCCCACTTGTAATTGTAATTCCTACTTCCTGCCCCTGTTTTCAGCTCAAATCCCAAATATCATGGCGAAAAAAAGCCAAATCCCACATCCCGCCAAACATATTGGGGGACCCTTGTAAGTCAATGGTATTGAGCTTTCCGTTAATTCTTTATAAATTTGAATGCCCTTTGTAAGGTTGGGATGTGGTAAAGGAATGGAAGGATGTCTTCTCAGGAGGAGAGAAACAGAGAATGGGAATGGCACGACTCTTCTATCACAGGTATTTTACATTGAAACCATCACTTGCAGGGCTGGTTACATTGTATTTTACAAAAAGAGTCTACAGTAGGCCTAGCATAAAACTCAAATGGGGGATTACATGCAAATGGGTCTAGGCTGCAGATGCTCAGTTGTGTTCTAAGACTTTCTCATGTTTAACATGGATGAGGTGCGGCTCATGCAGAATTCATTTAGACATGCTATTATATATATCAGGTTTTGCTATTGGTATGTACCTAGTGTATACCTTAATTAGCCTTGTTTTTCGCTGTTTAATTTGTTTGTTTTCTGATCAGCCTGTAGGCCTGTATTTTTGGATATAGCAGATTTGCCTTTTTTTGTACAATGTACAATTAGAGTACAATTGCATGGGTGGTACTAGTAGCAGTAAACTTTATTTGAGTGTCAATCATTCTAGCATTTCTCACACTGATAAATTATATACAATTACAAATTAAAAATTCAATTCTTTGGGTAAGGGTAATTGTCAATGACATGCAGTGGAGTTGACTATTGCTTATAGAACTTTACTTTTCAAGGGCAACACACATTGATTGTACACAGTTCTCTGAGACAAACTGTATGTTTTTTAGGCCCCAGTTTGCCTTACTTGATGAGTGTACCAGTGCTGTGAGTATTGATGTGGAGGGAAGTATCTTCCAAGCTGCTAAAGATGAAGGGATCAGTCTTTTGAGCATCTCACACAGACCGTCCCTATGGTTTGTACCTAGTTATTACATGTACATACAGTACCAGTATAAATAGTAATTTGATGCCTGATCTCTCCAGTAAGATGTGCACCATTGCATATTTTAGTACAAAAAAAATATAAGAACATCACTTGTGGCTCACATGTTCCTCTCCCCCCAAGCCAATCAAATCATGTGTTAGGCTCCAGAAACATCTTTTCTTGTGCCAAGGCTACATTAGCCAACAACAGGGCTTCAAATAATGGCCGGTCAACAGATAATGTCCAGTCAAAAATAGGTTTTGTCCTGTCAAATCCTTAGATGGCCGCACAATTTGTCTGCCAGGTTGTTTACACTGGTAAGGAAAAAATTTAGAGTTTCAAGTTTTAAATATTTAAAGGTTCAATGTTATTGGCATTTGCAAAAAAGGAGGGAAAAAAGGTGGATACTTAACTACCAGACCAAGAACTTTCAATAAATGATTTGTAATAGTCATAAAATTTCCGGCTATCATTGCAAATTTTCGCATAAATGTGATACTGATTTTGCTGTACCATGCGTTCCACTTTTCCTTCATTGAGATCAATGCTCATGTACAATAAATGCTTTGAAAATTTACTTGTTTCATATTTAAACATCATATGAAGGGGGGAGGGGGCACTTTTATAGCGATAAGATGTAATCGATACTTGTCTGGCCAAAAATGGGATGTCCAAGGAAAAATAGGTGTGACTGGACACTTTGACTGGCGCTAGCCGGGAAATTGTTTGAAGCCCTGCAACAGTGGGGCAAGAATGCAAAAAACAAAAAACAAACAAACAAACAAGAAAACAGAGCAAGACCAATACTCTCCAAAACAGACTAAACAGGCTAGTTCAAGTAAGTGTTTAGTATTAATAATGGCTCTTTTACATGTAATCTGCTGCCAAATTGATGCATTTTTGTGATCTATTCTCTGTAAACATGTGCATGATAGGTTATTTATTAATTTGTGAGTAGTTCATCTTAGCAGTCCATATTGCAAAATTCGGATCGCTAAGGGAACTACTCAGGCCAAAACTGTTTCGTACGGGGGTCTTCTCATCGTGGACCAGGTCAGCCGTATAATAAAACAGGAAAATATACATTTGAAAAGTAGCAAGGTTTGTATCATGACCAAGTGAACTTTACCTTCTGCTAAAAGGCCTAATCACTAAGCATGGAACTGTAAACAAGGTTGTTGTCATTATCATGAATCTTTACTAATTTCCAGGAAATTTCACACACATCTACTTCAGTTTGATGGGGAGGGTGGCTGGCGCTGGGAGGAACTGAACACAGCCACAAGACTGACACTTAATGAAGAGAAACAGAAGCTCGAATCACAGCTGGCTGGAGTTCCCAAGATGCAACAGAGGCTGCATGAGCTCTGTTCTCTACTTGGAGAAGACTCAGTTTTGTGTGTGAAGAACTAAATTATCAGGTTGGCAGAGCAGAAAATAGTAATTTCAGTTCTATTTTGTTTTTCTTGTCTGCACGACACCCTTTGCATCATACATATAACTTGCCCTTAGTAAAGTTTCAAAGGTTTTTTTTGGTGCAATGAAAAAATTTTATTGTCAGTGTGAACTTGATTGTTGATCGGCAAACTATAATGTTGCTTTGACTTTTGAATATCAAGGGCATTAATTTTGTTTTTCATTCGATCATGTATTTGTTATATTATTAACTAATCACACTGAACTTTTTATTAGTTCCAGTAGGATGGTGTGCACTGCACCCAAAAAGTTTGGTTTTAAAGTTCTTGATATTTTTAGTTATGCCTTGTTTTACTTAAAAGATAAGGGACATGGGGGGAGGGATGTAAAAATGGGACCTTTTTTTGCTTGAAAAAAAGGGTGAAGGGAAAGTTTTAGCCCCTAGTAAGTACATGTATATTTTTCAGCAACCACAGATTGCAATGAAAGAAACAAAACCCATATACGATATTGGAGCATTTGTTAATTCCAGGTTTATCTGGTCCTATGGAAGTAGGCTAAACAGAAAGAAATTTCATGTTTTTGGTACTGCTTGTCAAAATATGTTTGCTCCAAAAAAGTATTTTTATTGTTTTAAGTAACTTTATTTTTACGTGATGTTCAAAGGCAAGAGATCAACACAGTTATTTACGTAACAGGGGTTGTTACGTGTTTGGTATACAGATACGCTAAATGTAACGTGAAGTCTGTAATAACCCCTCAGGGGCTTGAACCACAGAAAGGGGAATTACGTCATGTGAAACAATTGAACCTTACTCACTCGCGTGCTTGCCACTGCGCCACCACACCTCTTTCTCGTGATAAGAGTGTGGGACTTAACACGTGTAGGACTAAATGCTTCTAACTTCATATAATCAACTAAAAAGGTTAGAAGTTTTCTGACATATCAATTTTCACTAGAATTTAAAAGTTTGCAAAACTATTCCCTTTGAAAACAATGCAATTGACATCCTGTTTAAAAGCTGTCTACGCTGACTGGCGTGCATCCCCGCAGCCTGAAGCTGCATCCCGAAAAAAGATATTTTTAATTGTCTTTTCAAAGTTGGAATAATTAGTTACAACATTGGTTATAGCCTTTCACTGCTTGAAATCTGTGTTGCTACTTTTATTCTTATTCCTTACCACCCTTTTTTCCTATTTAGTCTAATCTCAGGGTATCAATCGTCCCGGGATTCCACTGTCAATTACCTTTTAGGGTTTATTAGGTAGAGAAAGCATTACAAGTAATTCTCTCGGTTAGAACTATCAGAAATTGAGGTTTTACAGCAGAGAGCGATATGTTTTCTTAGTGGTAAAAAAGATATTTTAATGGCTGATTTATTTGTATCATTTGCTGTGTTAATTAAATTTTCGGGATCTAACTTAAATTATAATCCATCGAATATTTTCTCTCGCGCGCGACTGGTCTAAACGCGTCACGTGACTGAATATTCCCTAGCTAAGGATATTCCCCAATTTTCAAAACTGCGCGTGTTGCGAAAAATATTTCAAGGATAATAAACACAGTAGCCTCCTTTTGGCGCAAAACTATGCTCGGATATTTGTCCGCGGACATTATCCGTTCCGAGAAGCGAACAGATAATGTCTGCGGACAAATATCGAGCATATTTCCGCGCCAAATGGAGGCGATTGTTTATTTATTACTCGGAGTACATGATTAGTCTATTGTACGCGTATTTATTGTAAATCGGACGTTAAATTAAAAATGGTTTTCACTTACTACATACAGTAATTGTATCTCATTAGGAAGGGATCAGGCACGGGGGTACCAGGCAGCCTAATATTATTTATCAAAGACATTAAACTACTAAATTACGAGGTATTAACAGTACCGTGACTAGCCCCATTAGGGCAGGGAAGGGAGGGGGGGTGGGGGTCTGTGTATCCCATATCCCGTTAATTTTTGGCCTAATATCCCGTATTCCATTGCTTCCAGTTATTTGCTTGCCCCCGCCCCCCCCTTCTACCCCCCAAAAGTCTTCAGGACCGAATGACGTCTTCTCCATGTTCGTCCATGTGCTTTTTTTCGATTGTTGTGCAATATTGCGGACTTTCGAGTGTCGAGGCAGCTTATTGTGGACTGTAGCGGATAAGTTTTTATTTAAAGTTTGAAGTTCGTGTTAATGGCATTTAAAAACCTTGCAGACGTCTTCACGAAATGTGTACGACTTCTCGTACGAACAGAAAGCTGTAGTTTGGCTGCGTGTTGTGTACCCTCTTCTCTTCGACCAAATTAAAACGAACGCTGCCTTCTGCTGAATAAATCAAAGGAGGAAATGTATAGTTTCACTTCGCTGGCCTAGATTTCTGTGCGCAAAATATGTAACATAAACCCAACGAAAGTGTTTACATAGGAAAAGAATTCAACTCCCACAGGATTACTTTGGTACACCAACATGTCCTCGTTTCATTGTTTCGGAAGTGAAAATGCTCAATGGCTGTTCCCCAAAGCCAAGGCCATTCACAGTCATGGTCGTAAACAGAATAATTCCTAGTTTTTGTAATAAAAACGCGTCGTCTCACATACCGACGGAACAGGCAACGTTTGTGTCGATTGACACGGTCCAGAGTTGTAAGATTCCGGTCTGCGGACTGCGGGCTGTGGACTGCGGACTGGGTATAAAACACGGACTCGGGTATAAAACGCGGACTGCGGACTAAACGCGGCGTGCCGACTGCAGTCCGTGTTTTTTCACTGACCGGTCGTAACTAATAATACATAATACATGTACAAACGAGAACAAACCCTCTCGTGTGTACGTGCTTTGCGATCAATTCATTTGTTTTCGCCCCTACTGATGAAGGGAGGCCAATTTCACGTCTACCTAACAACCCAGGCACAAAATGCTGTTCCTACCTACCTACCAATACTCGAACGCACTCTTTAATCTACGATTACCACTAGTTTTTTTTACCTAAATATCCAACATCTCGAGAACCCCAATGGGGCCTCACCAAAAGCTGGCCAAAGAGATTTAAGCCGAAAAGCTAATGGCAAACAGAAGGGGAAGAGCGTTCTCCCAATGGCGCATGGCATGCAAAAAAAAAAAAAAAGAAAAAAAATGTTTCCTTTCTATTGCCTACATCATACACTTGTGGGCTGGGTTATCACTGCAAGTGCGCGCGCTTGTTCAGAGGTGTGATTGCGAGCATCGTATCAAGTTTTGTCTAGTCTGAGAAGGCAGTTAATTTCATTGATCATTTTTTGAGGGGAAGAATGATTTGTTAGTTGTGTTGCTGGCGCTTGAGTGACGGCAATCTAAACTGAATCTGAGTATAACTGTACGCGTGTTTTTACTCTCCTTTGTTATGTCAATGAAAACGACTAATTTTAGTCGAAAAGAGGAAAGCGCCTTGAAAGACGCATTTTTGAAACATCCGAGCTTGTGTGAAGCTAGCTTAAAGGGGGAAAGGTGGGCATATTTTCTACAGTTCTGTAGGCATATTCCACCGGATGGAGGGTAGGTAAAGATAAAATCTACATACGAGCTAAGTAGCCCATCAGGCCGGCGCTTATCTCCAGTTTTTATGCAGAATGAAGCGACTAGAAGTATTCTTACCCTCCTTTCGGATGGAGTGCTAGTCAATTTCAGGGTCACCCCCCGGCACTCATTAAATATGCCGGTACCCATTACTACACCTGTGTGGAGAGACGCAGTGAGAGTAAAGTGTCCTGCCCAAGAACACAACACGATGTCCAAATCCAGGGCTCGAACCGCAGGATGGACACGCGGCAAATTGTACCAATACCTTTTTGAGGTCTATTGCGCGAATCGGGGAAGGGGAAGGGGGCGAAAAACGCGAGGAAGAATGGAGCACCCTGTGGGGAACCCCCGCTTTAAGAACCGATATCCAAGAAAAACGAATAAGGAATGGGACTTAGTGGATTTCAATTGAATAGCAAAACACGAAACGTAAACTGAACTCAGCCCGTCGTAATCTCGTGTTTAGTTTGTCTACTTTTTTGTTAGCTATTTCCATTTGTATTTAATTCCTTCTTTAACTAAAGAAATTGTAGAATAGTATGCCCCAACAATAACGCCTTCAAACAGACATGCGTCAGAATTAAAACTGCAACCTCATTTTAATTTATGGCGGTGCCTCCGTTACATGCAAAGCTTTTTTTTCAGTTAAATACTATTATTACAGTCTGTCCTTCATAAATGAGTCTAATAAGGCTTGGTAACGGTAATTTGTCCAATGTGACGTCTGTTGGAGAAGTTGTTATTGCGCGTGCCCATGTAACAGTAGGCCCCAGGCTTCGTGATGCGGAAACACGGCGGGTTGCAGGAGGCTGGAGCGTTGTCAAGTTGAGCCTGTAGGTTGTTACCGCTGTAACATCCTTTGACGAGTTGAAGATTCAGATCAGCGGGCGTCAAATTGGAAGGATCGACTACTTCAAGAGGAATGCTGCTGCAAGCTTTAGGCTTGAGAGACATGTTGGAGCGACCTGAATCAGTGAAACGGGTATCAAACAAATATCATAAAATACCACTAACATCGTGTTCTATTTTGGGATCAACCGTTTCGACCGCAATTTAACTATTTTGTGTTGATACGGTTGACGTTTCTCGATAGAATACTTTTCCAACCGTTTTCGGTTGAAACACGGTAACCCCAAGGAATAGTCCTTACGCGAGCTACAATCACGCGACATATAATCACGGGGGTTGAGGCCGATTGAAAAAGTTGATCAACCAAACCAACCGAAAATGGTTGTTCCCCAATAGAACACGAAAAAAACCCATGCAACCAACCAGAAACGTTTGATCTCAATAGAACACGACCTAAGACTGAGTAACTGAGTAAAGTGTTGGATTCAAGCGTCCTGAAGAATTAAACTACTTTCTTAAGAATGAAATAAATTAACCGCGACTGGCCTTCTAACCATTAAAACGTGACTTATCGCCATTAGGAACCCTTGCAAGACTTTTTTTTCACGAACACCAACCTCGTTCCCACGGTCTCTCTGTGGAAAGAAGAGAGACCCTGGGAACAGGGTCGGATTACCAGCGTTAAGGCACTTACAATTTTCAACTTAGTAATCAAGAAAAATTGTCTTCTTTACATATACATGACGCGTAGTTACGTTTGATAAGCTAACACTGCCACTCGGGGAAATTACTTGCCACCTTAGAAATGTCCCAACTGCAAAAGCCACGCGAGGCTGCTGAATAGCAGCTGGTATGCCTTGAACAAATATGTTATCCGTACCTTTTACTGGACAACCATAGAGCTCCACCCTCATTGATATGTGTCCGTGCCAGGCTCTTGGTCGAAAGCGGATGTATTTTGCTGTGATGGGCGGGTTAAGGCCATGATACACAATGCTGTGCGAGTCTGTGTTTCCACTAAAATCCTAAATCGTTATCCAAGGAAATGCACATGTTATAAACGGTCATTTAATTTACCAAAACTGAACCTCCTCTCATCATGGTTACCTAACCAAAACTACATCTAGTTACAAATACACTGGCCAGAAAATGATCTGATAATTTCAAAAAACATTCTACGATTATTTCAAAGTGATCATTGTCTTTCCTTGTAGCAACTTCTAAGCAACTTTTGGTTCGATTTTCGCCACTCTCTTCCCGGGGTTAGGCGTTTGTTCTGTCCAGTAGAGGATTGTGGCCTCTTTCTACAAACAGAGGCCAGTTCTCGAGGATAGAGCTACCTTGAATTTCTCAAATTTAAGGAAAAACCATTGTGATTAGTTAGTGACGTTTGTGGATGCAGCTTATTTCACCTTCCTTGCAGCTCCTTGTCCTTTGTAGGCCTGGAAGTTGACACCATCGTTACTGAATAGCAGCTGGTATTTCGTCACCCACTGCTTGTGCTGTACACTGTCCCGTCCTTGGGTTCCTACACCTGTCACTGTGTGATGATCACCCATGTCAATCTGCAGCCACTGGTTCTGATCATTTTTGCGGGATGACCATGCTCCCTGTTTCCCGCCATTTTGTTGGAACTGAAGTCTTCCCTGGCGAGCGGCATGATTGCCATCCCATTGCGAGGAGGCACTGATCTGTCCGTCATCGATTGCACCATTCTCCATACCCAGGGCTTCGTGACATTCTACGGTTTGAGGAAATGGATACAAACATCACTTTGCTATACTGAACTACAGATGAACATATGGCTAATAAGCTATTATTCCTGGAATAAAGCGAGAATCATTTAAAAACAATGTGTGATGAAAATTCTAACATCAAGCCAGATTTCCAACTGCATCGTGGCTATTAGGCTCCCGAGGAGACTCTCAAAACGGCTGCAAATCGAGTGTACGTGGCTACATGACTGGTCCGTTCTAGTGCAGATTATGAGCGCAGCACGTTTTCGAATTCACGATACCGTTGACACCTATAGTCAAGTGGTGAAATTGTTTTCGACAAAAAGCAAAAGTAAATCATTGTCATCAAAAGACTCTGATCTAGATCATAGTCGCGTGATTCCATCCCAACACAACCTCGTTCCCAGGGGGCGGGAAGCAGAGTGAGCATGGGAACGAGGTTGACAAAATGATTTACGTCTTTTGTCCATTAAACTTGACATGATTTATTTATTTTAGGATTCGTACAAGTACAGGTGCTTAACAATAGGACATAAGTCCCCTACTTGGTTAATACACCCACACCCAACCCCCTAAAAAATATCCCGAAAAAAACCCTTCCCTGACCCGACTAAACCTACAAATCAAATAATCTAAATAACACAAATACAATCTAAAATATACTAATCAACTTAACAAATACAGACAAAGAAAATATTAACACGGCGAGACTTAGGACAAAACTAACTACCAACCAGCCGCTATAAACTACTAACTTGAGACAGAAGAGCTGCAACTCGACGCTGAGGAGCTGCATCCGTCCTTTATCCAGCACACATTGGTCCGATCAGAACCTGAAATTGATACTCTGTTAGTCTTCATTCCTCTTGGTTTCAAAACTTGAATTTTAGTTTCTCGTCTATATGAAAACCATCCTTTTTCGCGACAAAACGCCCATCTGAACTAGATTAACTTCAAATTTATGATCATCAGTCTACAAATTTTGACACTAACAAACAAGGGAAAACGTTCTATCAAAGAGGAATGGATTATAGTCCAAAAATTTGTTTATATGATCTACCATCAACCTCGGACCCACTGTTTTCACGGCCTTCAAAGTCCTCAAATCAATAAGGGGTGGCATTTTCAGCTTCAGTCAGAATATTTGCATCGAGAGTTTAAACATAAAATGAAGTCGAAAAAAATATTACCTAAATTATCCAAGGGTCTAAAGGATTCGGCAAGACATAAACTGTCTTGATTACACGGGCTACCGGGATCATGTCTCGGAAATTTAAAAGAAGACGATAAATATTTTTCTCCTACGCGCTTTTCCTTCTCCGGCGTTGTCCTGATTGTTGTTTGAACCTAAAATAGAAAAACAACAACAACAACAAAAAAATTAAAGAAATGCTGTATTGACCTAGAGTTTGCTATTTCAATAGACCATATTCGTATTCCCTTTTATTAGACTGGAACTAGCTTGCAAATTAGGCTAATGTGGGGAATATTTTCAAATGCAAATGACATTTATCTCTTTTTAATGATATTCCCCCACATTAGCCTCTACTGCAAGTTAGTTCCAGTCCAATACTGACAATACGAATGTGGCCTATTAAAGTTTGACAGTGGAATTGCAATCTAGTTTGTGTGTTAGATACCTTAGTGCTACTAATAACTTGTTGCTTAGTTTAAAATTCTCACCAGACCAGACGAAGCACACCACATCATCTGTTGTAACTGTAATGCGTTCAGGAGTGAAGCGATATTCCATGGCTGGATAAGCCTGCACAATGTTTCCTCTCTTTCCCATTCCTCCGATGTAGAATATGTTGGAATGCTGGAATTTTAGAGGGAGACCACTTCGTGATTTTAAAAGGATCACGTGACTTCTGTCCTGAAATGTGCGACCGAGCTGCGCGGTATTCAAGGCGAGTTGTAGATCTGTTGTACCATCAACTGCTTTTGTTTGAGGGTTGTTTGTAACTCTGCGAAGATGAGAACAGCGATCGGTCAACTCGGGAAAATTCGTTCTCAGGCGGCTCGCGGCCAAACCCTTATAGTCCGCGACTCCGCGTCTTCAGAGCGGAAAAACGTACTCCGTAGCTTTCTGCGCACTTGCGGGCTCAAGTAATAATGCAGGCTGCAATGGTGGAATGAACGGCGGACTGCTAATAAGGTACGCGAGGATGTCGCTCGGTTGATGCTGCCAAAGCATAGCACTCGCGTGCGCAATCCCTCCAAAATCCCGTTGAACGTTTTGAAACCTCTGCTTCATGAAATAGCACAAGTTTAACCCAAATTTTTGATGCTCATAAATAGTGATGAATTCTAAATCACTTACTCGTTATTATTGTTGGCGTCAAACTCGCGTGGAACATCGTTAGTGGTGATATTATACCTGCAAAAAAAAAATCACATACATGTGTACTATTCAATAAAGTAGAGCAAGTAAACAGCATGAAAGGAAACATGATGGCATTTTTAAAACAACAATATAAGTAATACGCAGTATATAAGCGTAGATTGCGTGTGATGTGTGTTCATGTTGGAATTCATTTACATAATAATTAGCCATAGTCCTGCAGCAGTCTAGACTGCCTGCCTTCTGTCCCCAGATGCACTTTCAGGTATAGAGGGTGTGAACTGGTGTGGACTTCCGCATTACCCAGAATATTGCACCTAATGTGTTATAGTGTCCTAAATAGGCATTGCCCTAATACGTTTATGACCGTTTATACCATATTCTCAAAACTGACTACGAACACTTCTAAAAAAAACTGTGTGAGGAAATAAAGATTTTGACGAAAAGATTGAAAGAGGTACCTCATAGTGGAGGCGCGGTGGCCTCATGGTTGGTACGCTCTTCTCCGGATCGAGCGGTCCGGGTTCGAGCCCTGGCCGGGGTCATTGTGTTGTGTTCTTGGGCAAGACACTTAAATCTCACAGTGCTTCTCTCCCCCCAGATGTATAAATGGGTACCGGCGAATTTAATGCTGGGGGTAACCTCGCGATGGACTAGCATCCCATCCAGGGGGGAGTAGAAATACTGCTAATCGCTTCATGTTATGGAAACCGGGACAAGCTTCGGCCTGATGGGCCACTTTATGCAGACTTAACCTTACCTACCTTATAGTAGTTATTTCTCTCACCTCAATCGTAATACACAACGCTGTGTGGTGGTGCTTGGAAAACATGGAACCTTCCACTTGTACGATGAAAACTTGCCTTTCATGTTTACTCCATTGTGGTTAACGACAGTGGATGGGGCGTAGATCACATCTGGGGTTTTGTGAAGAAAAACATCCTGTTCCTGTTCATCAGATCCTTGTGAGAGCTTTTGAGGTTCGTACGGTAAGCCTTTAGCAAGCTTCGAATCTCCTTGGGGTTCGCAGTTGCTCAAGTTGCCACCAGCTTTCTCTAAGTAATTAGTAAAGAATTTTGTCCAGGTCCCCCCAGCAGCCTTACACGACTCTGCGGTGATGTATTTCGCAGCGCATTTCTTGGCGCGAACATTTGAGTTGTCTGGTGGACAGGCTTCGTTGCCTGCTAGCTTGGTTGGCATAATACACATATCTAACGCGGAAAGGAAATTCGAGAAAAAAAAAGTTTACTTTTGTATATGAGTGACACGTAGGAAAGAGGTTGATACACTTGCATGCTTTCCCAGTCCCGGGGATATGGAGCTATGGATAGCCAGGGTGAATCTAATTATGAAGGAAAATCAAGCTGACCAAAACGGACATCTAACATTTTATACCCTGAAAAATAAATTTTTTCCCCAGAAACCATTTTTCCGAAACATGAACATTCAACATCTTCCAGCGTATCTTGAAACGATTACGCCTTGACTTACGTTTAAACCAAGAATTCTGCACACTAGTACTGGCAGCAATATTTCAGCATAGCAACTGAACGCCTACAGCAGCGGTGTTTTATAGTGAAAGGCCGCTTTCAAAATGGCTTCAGCACATTACATCTCAATTATACTTTACAGGAAAGCTTTCAAGTTGTGTACAATCAAAATTTGGTCTTGATCATTGTTTTCCTCTACCATTTATACAGTCGTTATACTTATACATTGTTATTACCAGTGTGTATTCGGGTATTAATGTAACATGTAGGTAACTCCTTTCAGTATATCCGGCTCCCTCCTTCCCCACTGTCCCCCCTGCCCCCCACCCCCCGTCGTTCACAGGGCTAATTTAGTTTCTCAAAGATAAACCTATAACGTTTTCAATAAGAACACCTTAAACATAGTCTCAGACTTGAGACCAGTATTAAACACTGTAACATTGACGTAGTGAAGAACTCAAAACATGTACTATAAACTCACATTTGTGCCCATAATCTGGACTGTTCACGTATTTCTTCATCAAATCCTCAGTCTTGTTATTGCTGACCATGATAGCAATGTCCCTCCACGGGGTGGGGCCCCAATAAGGATAGTAATCGCGTTCCTCGGGGACCTCCAAGCCCCTCCTTGTTCCGGCCGCGTTCTACCGTGTGTAAATAGGCAAATCTCCTTGAAGTTGTTGGTCGGCGGTAAATAAACCTTTGGTTAGAAAAATGAGGGTAGTAGTAAGTGGGCTTTGATAGACTTCTGCTACAAAACTGGAATGGCCAATTGCATCAACGCATGGTTCAGTTTCCAAAATTTTGACTCGCTTTTTGGAGGACTGCAGCTGGATATGGACTAAAGGTTAAGGTGGCTCCCTATAGTTTCACGATTGCACGCGCGCATAGGACGAAAGCCCAAGTAATCTGCGCGGGCTGAAAGGAAAACGTAAGTGTTTTTCGATTTTTATGACGTCAACATGAACACAAAAAGCAAAACATCGAATTTTCTCGCGTTTCCCTCGGTGAATTTTTAGATTTGGCTCAGTTGTAACCACATACGATTCCTATAAAATACCCTATTTTTGTTAAAATCTGTAAAACTGGAATGGCCAACTGCATCAATGCATGTTAAATGACAGACTGATAATCTGGATTGCCGACCCTTGGTAAGTTTAATTATTCTTAAGGACGTTGACGAAACATTTTACCGAACAATGGAATCTATTTAAAAAAACAAGGGAGAAAAAGTAAAATTTTCAAGGGATCAAGAGAACATGCTGCGACGGGCGACGCGGAGGACGACACCTAGTAAAAAAGGAATTTATATTTTACCAGCGAAATTCGCAACCGTCTAGATTTGTTCAGTACGCCTATGGCTCTAAGAACGTATTCGGCTTAAATATTCAATGACAGCGTTCAATTCCAAATGGAAATACGAAAAATTCGCCGAAGTCGTTCCCGTTTCTCAGACCACGCAGAACTTGGTCATTTCACGTTCTTGTTTTAGGCCCGGTTCATACGTCGCATTTCTGCCGTGTCGAATTCAATTCAACGAATTAAATTCGACAGAAATTCGACGTCTGAATCGGCTGCCGCATTTCTGCCGCACGTTCGACTGGTCTTGTCCCATTATCCGACAGAAATGCGACACCGATTCAAACGTCGAATTTCTGCCGTGTCGAATCTAATTCATACATTGTGTTAATGTAATGAGCATGCGTAAATTTGGTCCCGTCAAAGAGAAAGAAGAAACTTGGCTATTCTCGACCCAATGCAACCTGGAAATATTGCAAAACAAACTGTTGCATTGTCAGCCTTCTCCTTCTCATTCCATTGGCGGACAACTTTTCGCAAAATTAAAGTCCTTCGTCCCTCAGTATCTCCGTCTGCCATATTGAATACTCTGCGTTTAAAACGTCTTCCGCTGACCGACATACCCGACTGTATTAATTCTGAATTAAATTCGACACAAGTGCGACGTATGAATCGTCAGTCGCATTTCTGACGCACTTAATTGAATTGAATTCGACACGGCAGAAATGCGACGTATGAACTGGACCTTACAGAGGACGGCAAAGAAATGTACAGACTTATAACGCACGTGCACAGCTACTGTTTTACTCATTAAACCTTTTCTTTGGTGACGTTCTCGTTGCCGTCGTCGTTGTGGTTTGCTTCGGCTCCCGAAAAATACGTGGTGACGAACACCCCTAGTTTGGATAGAACACGCACAATTCTCTGTTTCTCATAGAAGTGGAAAAAGAGCCCCGAGTTTTTGTTTTCGGCCTAAAAGCGTGTTCCGGTAGCACTGAGGACTGAACAATTTCTCTGACTTTTGATGATCCATAACCTACATGAAGAGGATCTGGTATTCGCAGACCGTCTTGTTGGATGAACGCGTCAGGAATTTCTTTGAACTTGTATTGCTATGCAGTACTTGTTTTTGGAGCTCAGTGTATTTTCAGTCTACCTACCTTTGTTTCTTTCCCTGCGGACATACGCCTGATAGTAATTAGCTGGCTCGTGAAGTCCTCGGTCTTTCTTAATATAAGAATTCTCTCTTCTCCCTTTTTTAAAATCCTGAGTATTTAGTGTTTGACCGTTACGAATGGTGTGATACTGAAACTCGTTGTTCACATTATTGGTAGCCATCTTGCCCTCGGGATACGCCTGACACATGAACTGTAAGATAACTTGTGTTTCCACTCTGTCGTCAGTTTTTGGGCCGGTCCCGTGTTGATTTGTCCACATGATTTCTACTTCAGATTTGCCCTTGGCGTCGCAACTACTCATGTAGAACTCCTAAAAAGTGAATAAATGAATAAATAAATAAATAAACGAACGACTGACTGATTGACTGACTGGCTGGCTGACAGGCTGAATGGTTGACTGACTGACTGACTGGCGGATTGGTTTACTGGGGGACTGACGGACTGGCGGATTGACGGACTGGCAGACTGGTGGACCGGCGGACCGGCGGACCGACTGGCTGGCTGACTGGCTTGCTGACTGGCGGACTGGCTGACTGACAGGCTGACTGGCTGACTGGCTGACTGGCTGACTGGCTGACTGGCTGACTGGCTGACTGGCTGACTGGCTGACTGGCTGACCGACTGACTAACTGGCTGACTGAATTGCTTGGACCGATGGACGGACGGACAGAGGAACGAACGGACGGATGGACGGATGGACGGATAGACGGATGGATGAAAAATGTGGTAAGGTCTTAACATTGAAAAAATCTCTATATATGATTAATGTTACCGTTGGTAGCTGTCTGAACTCTTGAATATTGTCTCCAGGATTATCGTCCAATTTGTCTCCAACATTGTATCCAGCTTTACCGTTATTCTAAAGTATGCAAGGAAAACGGTTAATGAGCATCAATGCACGACTTTTAGGCGAAGTCTAAGATATGAAAAAGCAAAAAAGAACGCATAATTCAAAGCGGAACAGGTATCGAACCTGAATGTTTGATTTTTATTGTTGGCCAGTGCAATATACTTGGAATATAATCACGCAATAAAGCATTACGATTGGCTTATTATAGTTATCGGCCCTCTGAGTTCATCATAGTCCACGTGTGATATAATGACGTCCTACCTGTGAATCAAACAGTCTGTTTGCATTCCTGACGTTATCTTGATTGCCATTCAAACGATTATTGGATCCATGTGGAAAATGCATGTACATGTCGGACATGCAACGCTCGATAAGTACAGCCAAGAGGCAGCACCAAACGAAAATGGTCCTCATGTCCTGCATTCTATCATGACACAAAGGAGAAGTAACAAGCTAATTACTGAAGACGAGTTACTTGTTAGTGCACCGCACATAAAGACGAATGATATAAGAATGAGCAGCGGCGGGTTTAAACGGGGTAGATTGGGTGGCTAGCCATTCTTCCGCCTTTCGGAGAAGCAAAGACTGACAAAAACTGATAAAGATCGTGAATACTATGGCAGAAACTAAAAGGCAAATACTCGGGAAAGGTACATCCGTTGTAATTTATAGTTTGTGGCATTTCTGGTATAACAGTTTTAATTAAGAATCCAATTCTGAAATTGCAACATTTTGGAGGCATGTCTCATTGATTCTGCATCTTCAAGATACCGGTCACCCCTCTTTGAAAAACCTTGGATCCGCCCTGAATCAGGACTGTGTTTAGCAGGGGCGCGCAAATAACGACAGTTTTCTCTCAAATGCTTTAAAAAGCGGTTTATTAGGCTATCTGGAGTAATTTTATGCCGTGCTATAAAATTTGTCTGTTTGGTCTTCATAGGGAAACTTGAGTCCTTTCGGATTAATTAGGGTTTTTTATCCATTCCCCGAAAACCTTAAGTGTCATTGTGAATGTCTTTCGGAAAATCATAGCTGACCTTTTTTCGGCCACCAAAACGACATTTTTATCAAACCGGAAGCAACAGCCATTAAATGTTTTGCATCATGAAAGTTGGAGGTGACAGTTTTCTTAAGAAAATCTGAGGGGATTAAAGGAATTCCGAAAAGACAATTTACATCGAAACAATCTTTTTGGTAGTCCTGCTGGTATCGATTACCTGGAACATGCAATCTATATGGCTTAATTTAGAATATAAAATCTAAATTTTTAGGACCTCTGCTGTGTAATTTAGTCTAACCGTCGAGCAGTTGTTGTCTTGCCTCTCAGGCTTCCGTCAGTGTCTGTTCGCAATTTTTGAATTTCAGCTTAAGAACAGTGTCGTTAAGTTATACAGGTATCGAGTCTTGTCACCTCCTCAGATTTAGTTGACTCACTTATCGCCATTCTCAAAGGGTCGCGCCTTTCGGGTTAGTTGCAATCAAACTATTAAACGTAGAGGAGTGAGTGGTTCATCAACAAGTGTACATGAAAAAGTATATTCAGATTCAAAATACTGGCCTCACATGCTTTTCTTTAAGCACGATCCTTTTAATTATAAAATCTTAACAGCATGAAGATTAAAGGAGCTATGTTATGGTTTGCGCATTTCGCAAAGATATATAGGCTTAAAATTTTCAAGTTCGTCGTTTGTAGTCCGTGTCAACCCTTCACCATCCTTGTTCCTTTATGGTTTATTGTTATCTCTTTGGTGTTTTTCTATCATAGTAAACTACTATTTTCATGTTTCCTTCAATCTAGAGGTAATTTTGTACATGGCCAAAATAACTCCAAAATTCCGTGACTGAGTTCCTTTAAGCACTCATTACAAACCAAACAGTATTCACCGGTACTTACACGTTTAGGTTCAAGATCTGCAACCCCCCGGCAGTAACATAAACAGATTTCTGAATTCGACTCGGGACGAACTCAACGGAATGATTTCAGGTGATATTTTTTCCCGCCCTTCGTACACTGCTAAACTATAAAGGATGTTTGATTTGGATACAAAAGGAAAATTATTTTTGTATCATTGTATCGTTATTTCGCATGAGAAACCTTCGGCTGTATAAAGTTTGATACCACACAACGGAAGCTAAGAAAAAGGATGCCTGCTTGTTTGACAAACACTTTTTTGTGTGATGTTGTTCACTGTTTGTGAAAAACATCACTCAACTTTTCCCAAAGCCTCCTGTAGCATTTCTTTTAGATCACTGGACTTTAAACATGTCTAGATTTTTAACTATTGATGTCAATTTTGAGATTTTTAATTGTAATGTTCAAAATTGTTGTATATAGTTCATTCATTGTAAGCCCCGTTCATTAGATCAGTGCAGGTCCACATCAGAACTTTTGCATTGGCTAGTCTTTGTAACCTGCTTTTAAATAAATTGTGTGTGTTTGCCGTCAGCTGTACAAACCATTCTTTACAGTAAAACTTTCTTCACACAAATCACAGGAACTGCTATCGTTTTTTTCATTATCAGTTATTATAACCACGGACAACCAGTTTTAATTTTCTACCTGTCGTTTCACTGACGTGAGCTGGACGAACAAATTGTTCAATGCAACCATCAGTGGCTAGAAGCAAGTACTCTCCTTTTTTCAGTGCTGCTGATTTGTTTAGTTTGTCTTCCTTAATTCTAGTTCCTCTGCATCGGTGATAAACCTAGCTCAACAAGACGCCCTTCTCTAAAACTCTTATATCGTGCTAATATCACAACACTGGTAGCCTCAATCTTTGCGTCTTTTTCAAGACAGGAAGCCTAATTTTCATAATTATTTGTTACGTTCTACTTGTTCTTTTCAAATCTTTTCCTCTCACGAGGACAAAGCGCAACAACTCCATACCGGATGTTCCTAAGACCTTAAAGATGATGTTCTACAGTAATTAAGATAAATTTTTAACTTTCTCAAACAAAGAAAAATCGTTTTTTTTTGACTTTGTAAAACTCAGGTAGTTAATTTCTAGGATTTCTGTCCAACGTAAGGAAAATAAATTAATCGTTAGCCCCAAAAAGGCCAAAATATTAACTGTTAGCCGTAAAAGCCACCACAGGACCCTTCAGTAATCCTCACTTAAACCTACCCACAATAATTATTCTCCAGTTTACAATTCGCACATGCTGTTGTTTTTGCAATAAATGAAAATTTAAGACAAAATTGCCATTACTGGTCAATCTTGAGCTGCTACACCAAGTAAGCACACAGGATTACGGCCAGTTAGGCTGGGGAATTACAACTCTGACGAAAAGATCACTTTTGACAAAGAACCCCCGAGTGAGCGCACAGGCTGGGGAGGTACATCTCTATCATTACAGCTCACTTACGTCTTCAGCTGGGAAAGTGAACAGATCTGACATTCCGAGTCAACCTCTACTTATGCCGCTAACAAAGTGCTTGTTCCGAGTTATTCGAGACCGTTGCAGGGAATTCACATTGAAACTAAATAACCTAGTCACAATTGAGCCTGCAAAAAGCTTAATTACGAACAGCCTGATTACGTGAAACATAAAACTATGTATATACCCGGGGGGGGGGGNGGGACTCCCATATAAAAAGGACGGAGATGCTCGTCGGAAATTTTGAAAAGAACCCCTAAGAGGTACCAAGATCCTGTTTTGTGGACGTGGCTTGAAATTTCTTTACCCCTTAGAGGTACCAATTCTAAACCAACACATCATCTCCTGTCATATTTTTTCTGCTCAATACCCTAAAAGTTACCGCAAAAGCTCCCGCGCGCTGTGGACCTTCTGAGGCTGAACACCTTAAGAGGCACCAAAACTGCTTTTTTAACCTCCAAAGTTGGGGGGGGGGGG